CCCCCCCCCCCCCCCCCCGCCCCACTCACGCTCAGCTGATGATGACCTGGTCTCATGCTTGCCTCACTGAGGAAATAAGAAGCCTCCAGACTGGATTCCCTTGTCTTCTCACAGCAGAGAACCCACGTATCCCCTTCCTAGTAAAAACCACTCCTCCTACCTGGGCTTTTGGTCATATTTTTCTCTCTCCGTCCCTGGGCTTTCTCTTATCCTCTCCACCTGCATTTAGAATTACATTCTTACTCCCCACACTGGCATTCCACAAATGCTCTGTCTAAAGAAAAAGGGCAGGGGTGTTTCCTGCCCCTACCTTCCCTGCCTCTCGCATACTCCCCATTTTTCTCTACTGCCTTTCATAGCTACCTTTTTTAGAAATAGCCAGATGTAAGAGTACACACACGTGTGTCTCCCCTCTTCCCAGGCACCCTTGAACCCATTCCAGTCTGACCCCCCACAACTACTTCCCTCCCTTCTAGTGCACTTGAAGTCCTCTTGTCAGGGTCACCAGCTACTTTAGTGTTGCTAAATCCAATAGACATGCCTGTGTCCTTTTCTTGCTCCGAGAAGCATTGGACACAGCGGGCCATCCCCTTGGCATCCGTGACCCACACACCCTGCAGTTCCTGCTTGGTGTATTTTACTGTCTGTGTCACCTCTTTAACAACTTGATGTTGGACTTCCTTGCTGTCTGGTTCCTTTCTCCCCACCCCCTCCCCCGGCCCCCCATGTGGTCTCATCCCGTCCTGTGGCTCTGCATACCACCCCTACAGATGGCGCTCACATTTACATGTCCAGCCCAGATCTCTCCTCTGACTCCACATCCCTGTGTCCAGCTGCCTTTCTGCCTGAGAGCTCGTGGTTACGTCTGGCGCAGCCTATCTGAAGCCGAACTTTTGATTACTCCCTTCCAACCTCTGCATCCCTGGCTTTCCCCATTTCGGCAAATGGCACAGGCACGGTCCCCACCCGCAGCTGTTCAAGCCAGAACCCTGGGAGACGTTCTTTTCTCTTGTCCCCGTATACAAGTAAGCTCCAGCAATTCTACCTCCAGATCACATCCTTAATCACACCACTTGTCATCTCTGCTCCCACCAGCTAGTCCCAGCCACCAGCACCCTAACCTGACTGCACTCCACTTCCACTCTTGTCTCTTTTCAGTTCTTTCCTTACACTGCAGGTGGACTCCTCTTTAAAATGTAAGATCACCTCTCCCACTCCCTCAGCTCCCTGTTATTTAGGATCAAATCCCAACTCCTTATGTTGGCATTGCCAGACCCAACTGTTGAATTTTTTTTTGTTTTTGAAAGTAGGCTCCACGAAGGCACCTGGGTGGCTCAGTCAGTTAAGCATCTGACTTCGGCTGGGGTCATGATCTCGCGGTTCATGGGTTTGAACCCCCGTCGGGCTCTGTGCTGACAGCTCAGAGCATGGAGCCTGCTTTGGATTCTGTGTCTCCCTCTCTCTCTGCCCCTCCCCTGCTCATGCTCTGTCTCTCTCTGTCTCTCAACAATAAATAAATGTTTAAAAAAAAAAAAAAGTAGGCTCCACACCCAACAAGGGGCTCAAATTCACAACCATGAGATCGAGATGCTCTACAGCCGGAGCCAGCCAGGTGCCCCCCAACTACTGAATATTTAACCCCAGTTCTTTCCCATGATCTTTAACCGCTTAAAGATCATGGGATCTTTCCCATGATCATTTTCATAACTGCTTGTTCTGGGACATAGATTACATGCCTTCTTTTACCCCTCTGAGATTATTACATATATGGCTCTCAAAGTCTTTTTTCTCTATTCACTCAGATTCCTCCAGCATTGGTTATTTGTTGAGCTCAGTTCCTTCCGCAGTGTTGTCCTTCTTGCACGGGTGATACCTAGTTGTGCTAATCTTTCCATTCTCTGCGACTGCTGCGCCGGTCTGTTAAAGGCTGCCTCCAGATGACCGTGGATTGTGGACCAGTGGTCGGGAGAGGCAGATGCCAGCAGCTTGACTCCTGAAGTTGAGGCCTCCCTCTTTCTCCTAAATGTCCCCAGTCTCCTGGACACTGCCCCTGTTTCTCTGACCCACATTCCCCACCACCAGAGATAAAGTCTCCAGGGCCAGCTGCGTGGCACAGGCGTCTCTGGATTGTCTCACTGTCCCCATCTGCTCATGCAGCTCTTCTAACACTTTGTAATTAGTTCACTATGAAATCCCTTCCACAGAACTACTTGGTTTGCTTCTCTCTCCTTGACTGGACCTTGAATAACATTTCTTTTTTTTTTTTTTTTAATGTTTACTTATTTTTTGAGAGACAGAGACTGAGCACGAGGTGGGGAGGGGCAGAGAGAGAAGGAGACACAGAATCTGAAGCAGGCTCCAGGCTCCGCCCTGTCAGCACAGAGCCGGACGTGGGGCTCAAACTCACGAGCTGCGAGATCATGACCTGAGCCGAAGTCGGACACTCAACCGACTGAGCCACCCAGATGCCCCTTGAATAATATTTCTGAAACAATTTTATCCTTCAAAATGTTCATTTTCATGTTGTTTTTCTTTTTTTTTTTTATTCTTTGTTCAGCTTATGAGGTTCATTCATTTTTGTTGGTCCTTGTTTTTATTGACCTAGCAACAGTATTGTTTTTTGGTTTATTTTCTTTTTCATTAATTTATTTTATTATCTTGAATATTTGGTTGTCTTCTTTTGGTTTATTTTAATAATTCTGTTGTTAACACTTGAGTTGAACACTTAGCTGTCTTTTGACATCCTTGTTTTCTAATAGAGAATCAA